TAAATGAAAGTTCCTAAACAGTAGATTCCTATAAAGATAATGTCAGTCAGATAAGTAACTTTGAATTTTCTCAGTGGAAGGAAAAAGGATTTGAAATGACAAAAGGCAACATGATATCTGAAAAGTGCTGGACTGGGGATGGGTAACATCAGGGTTTTTTTAATGTTCATTTATTTATTTAAGGGGGGATGGGCAGAGAAGGAGGAAGAGAAAGAATCTCAAGCAGGCTCCATGCTGTTTGCACAGAGCCTGACACAGGGCTCGAACCTATGGCCCCAAGATCAAGAGTCTGACCCTCAACCAACTGAGCTACCCAGGTGCTCCAAGTAATATCAGTTTCTAACCCAGATTTACTTTTAACTAAATGTTTCATTATACTATCTGTAAATATAGCTAAGCCAACTGAAAATGAAAATGTGGGACTAAGTCATCTGCCAAAATCCTTCTATGGCATTTCCACTCTTCTGTTGATAACCCTGTTTCCCCTCTTTCAAGTAGGCAGAGGCCACACCTGTGTTCACTTCCTTTCTTCTTTTCTCCTTTTGGCACAGTACCTAAATTAGAGAGTGGGAGAGAAGAAACTGAAAAGGAATGTCTATGGAGAATGTGAGTTCTTTACAGAAAACTAGCTAGGGAAAATAGACCAATTTGTTAAACTCTCCAGACTCTTCATTGGCCTCACCTATAAAGTGCTATCGTAAGATTATCCTGATAATCCAAATGGAGTCCCGGATGCACAGAAATTACTTAATTAAGTCTGGCTGTTAGTGCTGTTGTTTATTTATAGTGAGGAATGGGAAGGGAAAAATAGGACTCTAGTCCAGGTTCGTCTACGTCTTCTCTTCCTTCCTTTTATTGTATTCCCCCTCTCTTCACAAACACTTTATAATTCCATTTCACTCCGTGTGATGATCTACATGAAATATCAGGTAGTATTTTAACATAGTACCAAGAGAAAGTAGGCCTTTTGGATTATTTGATCCCTCTTTATTTTGGATACAGGAAATTAGCAAAGTTCCCTTCGAATAGAAAACATTTTCTTGCTAAGCCTGTATTGCCTTTTGTCATCTCAAATCCTTTTTCCTTTCACTGAGAAAAATCGAAGTTACTTATCTGACTGGCATTATCTTTTGTACAGGAATCTACTGTTTAGGAACTTTCATTTAGCTACTTGTATAAAGATGAGTATATTCTATTGATGTTTATGTTCACCTAGCAGGAGTCATAATTTTCCTAAGTTTAAGATAATTCTGTCTTACAATTTTTTTTCTGGCTAGGGTAAATTTCAAAAGTAGGCCTTTTGGATTGCTTATTCAATCCCTCTTTATGTTGGACACAGGAAATGAGCAAAGTCCCCTTTGAATGGAAAACGTTTTCTTGCTAAATCTGTATTACTTTCTAATTTAGCCCTTGTCATTGTGTTCCCACAAATGACACTATTTAACAGTGCATGGGTGGATTCTCTAGGGACTGAGAAGGTTCATGAAAATATGCATAAGAGAGGTGTGTCATTTTCCCTCAGCACTATGCACTGTACCCAGTTTAGAAAGACAAATCCTCAGCAGATGGGTCTCTGGCCTCTTTCCAATATATGATTTGAATTGTTTTTCAAACACACCACAAATCCAAAGCTGACTGCTCTTGCAAACAATTTTTATGTCTCAGGGAATCAAGTGGCAAGGTCAGGGTAAGGTACTGCTTTATTTATTATACCTTTTAATGGCTTTCTTTTTCTAGGGCAACAGAAGTAGTTTGAGGCTTTCCTAAGATTCTAATAAAATATTTCTTATTTTTAGCTATCTATCCAGTCACACGGACAGTGACTGACCCCTGACAACAGTGCAGTGGCCCGTAAGAAATACGTTTCTGGTTTTAATCTAGTTCCTTAATGGAGAACCACCTACATCACACAACCCATCACCCGAAGTGTGATTATTCAGACTGAAGGCACAATGGTCAGAAGTGGCCCTGCATCTGCATTATTTAAGATTTCAGTCAATATTCTCTACGTATTCTATGGCATAAGAAACACGCTCGTTAAGTCTGCATAGGAAGCCAGGCTGGGAGGAAGGCAGAGGCTAGCATCTGAGAAAACACGAATCAGCTCTCGTGTTTGTATCTAACTGGATCCTTTATCAAAAGCGATGCAACAAAACTCAGCCAGGAGAGTAAAGATAAACATAACAAGGGAGGAAAGATAAGATAGAAATGCCATAAACCAGCCAGGAGTTCTGAAGTCAAGACTTAACTCTGCCATCTACTAGATAAATAGATAATATATATTTGTCAATATAGTATTCTAATTATATTATGATACAAACAATAACAAATATATATTTATTTATTTATTTTATATATTTATTAAAAATAAATATATATTTATTATATAAATTTATATTTATTTATTATTATATAATATATATTATATTATGATATAAACGATAATAATAAATATGTATTTATTATTTATTTATTTATTAAAAATAAATATATATTTATATCATATATGTTTAAATCTTGAGCACATCGCTTCACATTTCTATACTTTAGTCATAAATGGGGATAGAAACGTCCTACCACACCTATTTTGCTAGAGTTTTATGAAACTCTAACTACATCTGTTCATTCGATTTTTAAAATAAAAACATGAAAGCTATGCATTCCAGAGAAAATAACCTCAACTCCCTGTTGTCCTACTCATATTAACCTTACTGAGGAAATTATATTTGTGGAAGACTGATTACTATCACCCACACATTTACTATTAGTACCATCTTACTGACAAGGCCACTGCCTCTCATTAACCTGTCTTTTCTGGGCCCTCCCTGGCTTACAATAACTCCTATACACTGGCAACTCTCAAACACGTATCACCAGTTCCCTTCTATCCTCTGAACTTCGGTCTACCTGACATGCCCACTTAAAAATCTTTTTTTTTTTTTTAAATATTTTTATTTATTTGTAGGAGAGAGAGAGAGAGAGACAGCGTGAGCAGGGGAGGGTCAGAGAGAGACGGAGTCACAGACTCTGAAACAGGCTCCAGGCTCTGTGAGCTGGCAGTCAGCACCGAGCCCGACGCGAGGCTCGAACCCACGAACCGCGAGATCATGACCTAAGCGAAAGTCGGACGCTTAACCGACTAAGCCACCCAGGCGCCCCTTGACATGCCCACTTAAATATCTAAGAAGCATACGAAAATTTATTTTGGGACACCTGGGTGGCTCAGCGGATTAAGCATCCAACTCTTGATTTTGGCTCAGGTCATGATCTCAGTGTTCATGGGTTTGAGTCCCACATCAGGCTCTGCGCTGACAGTGAAAAGCCTGCTTGGTATTCTCTGTCTCCCTCTCTCTCTCTCTGCTTCTGCCCTGCTTCTGTGCCCACTTTCTCTCTCAAAAAAAAAATTTAATAAATAGACTTAAAAAATGTTTTTGGAGGCACCTGGATGGCTTAGTCGGTTAGGTGTCTGACTTTGGCTCAGGTCATGATCTCACAGGCCATGAGTTTGAGCTCCAGATCAGGCTTTGGGCTGACGGCTCAGGGCCTGGAGCCTGCTTCATATTCTCTGTCTCCCTCTCTCTGCTCCTCCCCGACTCATTCTCTGTCTCTCTCTCTCTCTCAAAAATAAGTAAACATTTAAAAAAAGAAAACAATGTTTTTAAAAATGTAATTGTATAATAGTAATAAATACAATAATGATAATAGCAGCTATGGTTTATTGAATATTTACTTCATGCCAGACACTATGTTAAGTATGTTGACTTTATTTTCCTTCCCTGACAAGACTCTTCTCCCTTAAATTTAACACTGCTCTTGACAGAATTGTGAAAAGCAAACCTTGAGTGATCTTTCTACATTCCTTCGATGAAGAACCACTGCTAGAGATGGATCAACCAGGCCATCTTCAAACCAGACTCTTGGACTATAATTATCATTTCCTCTCCCTTCTCTCTGCACCCCGGCTCCACTGGAACTGGTTTCTGTGAGTGGATTTCAATGTTACATCCAAGGCTTCCATCACAGCACACCCCCAAGCAAACAGCCCTCTGACGCCTGTTATTTCATTTGCTAGGTGGCTGTTTGAGGACTGTGAGATTCCAAGCTCCAATATGAAGCTCCCCAGGGTACATGTGTCTTTTTTCTGAAGAGAAACTTATCTTCCTTGAAGGAATTGAGATTTTTCTTCTTACTAACCATAAAATCCTCTAACCTTTCCCATCTTCCATTCAACTGGGCTTCCATAGAACTTGACACTAAATGCAAATTTCAACTATAGCAATTATATAGGCCCTTACTGCCTATGCACTTAGATTTCATTTCCCACCTCGATCATGGTCCTTTACACAAATTTTAAGAATTATTTGTCAGAAAAATTATCCAAAATTTGAGAAAAGGCGAAAGAAATTATTAGGTATGTTTTCAGGGGAGTGCTGGGCTTGACATTCTATTTAGTGACTTTCACAATGTGTAGGGACAGAGGGTAACTTGCAGATTTTGTTTAATAGAAATGCAAATAATTGCTATCCAGTGGAACCCAAAGTTATGGTTTATGGCACTGTTGGACAATAGTCAGTTTTGTATCTAATCTATCAACCCAGAAAATTACAATAACTCTAATAAAAACCAAATGTTCTTTGGATGGGTGTTTAACATTTTACTGTTTTCCTCATCTATTAATGAGATGAAGGAAATCTGCAGCATGCATTCATCTTATCTTTTCATGAATCATGAGTTTTCAAATTTAAAATTATACCTTAGCATATTTCATGTAATCATAAATTTAAATTTCCATTTATATTTTTCCCATTTTGTTATATGTATTTTTGTTTTAGGTTGGCCTGAATTATTTACCATTTATAGAATGAAGTCAGGTAGAAATAAATTAAGATGAGGTTATATTTATGTTTATATATGAAAGCATCATATAAATATATTATCCATATAAATGGCTTGGATCAAAAACAGTACTTAGAATTAGATACTAGCCCTCTCATACTTACCACCAGTGGGACCATATTAAATCTTACGTGAGGGCTCAGCTGTGACGAAATACAATACTCCTTATCAAAGTTAAAGGTAGTTGATGAATAAATTGCTATCCATATCTATCAAGAAAAGAAAAAGAGGATACTGGCTCATCTCACAGGACAAAATTTGGGTTAAATGTAAGAACAAATATTCTATAGAGAAAATATCTTAAACTATTTTGAAAACTGGCTAGATGAAGTTTGCTTGAGTTTTTCTCCTCCACAACATTTAGTTCATATTCTGCTCTTCAGAGCATTAACCTCAAGTTCACTCCTCCATATCCTCCATTTCCCTTAAGCCTTCCCATACAGAGTCTAAACTTCTTGTGGAAACAGCATAGAGTGTTCAACTTTGAAGTCCTGAGCAAAGCCAAAGACATGAGAAGTCAGAAAGAAGGTTGGAAGGATAAGAATTTCCGAGAGAGACAAGAGGTATGCAGGGCAAATTCAGCCAACACCTATACCCCGGATACTCAGAAAATGGTAGACTCTACCTCGGGAGAAATGAGACACTGCATACCCAAAACAAAGAGTATTTAGTGAAGTTGAAGCAGTCCTCACTAACAGAGTTAGTGTGCATTCATGAAAATAGCTCCAGTGCTTGAAATGTTAGAGACTTAGATACCGTTTGTTAACTATCTGGGTAAGGGTATCCCAGAGCCTCTGTCTTCCTCCCATCCATAGAATATGATGATTATACCTACCTGGCAAGTTTCATGTGAAGATTAAACAACATATTCAGAGCCTCCAGCATAGTTCCTGGACCACACAAAGAGCTAGCTACTTCATTCTCATCTATAGTCACTAAGAGAGCCATTTTTAATTCAGGCTGAGGAGATGGACACAAAAAGATCCTGTTTTTCCAGCTTAAAATGGTATAAACAATCAAGAAAGGTCAGTATCAGGAAAAAAGTGAGCAACTAAAGGGCAAGTAAAAATATTAAACTCTCTGGAACATACTGTTTAATGCTTTAACCCTACCCTGAGCTAATTAAGGAAGGAATGTATCCTGTACGGAAAAAGCATACCATTTCTAACTTGGGATTCCTTCCCACTGTAGTAAAAATTGCCTTGAATGTTGTAATGGTGGTTGCTATAGGCAACAGCAATCATAATGTGGAAAAAGATTCAAGAGAGAGGAAAAACAGGTGATCGTACTGTAAGGAATCAATCAGTCTTTGCAGAAATTCAGTATTCCCATTTCCCATTCCCACTCTCCTGAATTTTGGTGGCGGAATAAATTTAGTACAGACAAATAGAAGAAAAAATCTGGCCTAGGATTGCATAAACAATTCCTCAACTAAAGACCTTCTTTTCTCTGGGACGGCCATCCTCTTCAGCCAAGGGCCTGGAGTAGAAGAGCTGAGATAGGAAGCAGCACTGTCCAGCCAATGAGCCCTGTCAACAATGAGGTGACAAATGTCCCGGGCTGCCCTCACCTCTGAAAGTAAAATCTGTGGCTAAGAGAATCAATTCATCTGACCATTATTCAATAGCGCTACTACCTCTGTGAACCCTCTGCAGTAATAAAAATTGCAGCTCAAGAATTACACTAGCCTACTAATAATTAATGTTAAATACTAATTAATGATTCATAGGAAAGAACTTCAAATGAATAACCAACTGAAAGAGAGTATAATGATTTTGAAATTTATACATTCTATAAATTTACTGGGTAAATCTCTCTGGAATTAAAAAAAGGCCAGAGATGGAAAAAAAACAAGTATCATCTAATTTTACCTAGTAGCGTAAGTAATCTACTATCAACTATGAGGGCAAGATGCCTTGTGTAAGTAGATGAAATGGATCACTTAGATTTTTCTTTATGGGAGACAATAGATTCCACACCCTTCCCTGACATACCCACAAGCCTCTGTCTATTCGCCTCAAGCCGAGAGGGGAGATGATTAAATATTAAAATAAGCAAGCTGCTATCTCTCCATTTCTATCACCCCCACCAAGGATTTTGCATTTAAAACCTCAGTGTGATCACTGAGCAAAAAATGAAGGATCTAATTAAAATGAAAATCAGTATAATATGAAATCATGAAATCATTAACACTTTTGGTTTACTATAATTCTGTTTTTATCTCTGATCATTTTTATTCTTTCACGCCTTTAGAAATGTATGCATCATTTCAGTAGCCTTTTTCAGATTAAAAAAAGGCAAAAGCCATTATAACAATGGGTGGCTTCTGTCATCTAAACTACTATTTTGATCATAAGAGGAAGGAGAGATTTCTGAATCTCTGTACTACATGGTGGGGATCAAAGTAGATCTTGCAAACGCATGTTTCAGCCCTGGCACAGAACTGTGTGGGGATTACTGGAGAAACTGTTTAGCCTCTTGTAGCATCATTTCACTCACTCACAAAAGGAAAGAGTTGGATTAATCTACCCTTGACTCTTGGTTTCCAGGCCCAGGAAGGCACAGGAGCTAATCTGGCTGTCCTTTGTCTCGGACAAGGGAAAGCTAAGGCCATATACACGAGCTTGCAAGGTGCAACGTCCTGGGGTGTAGAGAGGACACTGCATTTACTTCCTTATTTGGAACTCAGTACATGCCATAATATTTCAGCGTTTAGCATTCATAAGTACTGATTTCAAGAGAGGTTCAACTGGGGAAATGTCTAAATTCTCTGTAAAGAAGATATTTCCTACAACTAGGAACTTTTTAATGTGTCTTAAGAACATCCCCAAATAACTATTATGACAAAACAACCAGCAATTTTCCCTGACATGCTACCCTTGAGCTCTCATCAAATGCTCGTACGTTTTCCTATATTTATTGACAGTGCTTGTTCACGCTGAAAATGAGATTTTTCCATTCCAAGAAGAGGGGGTCAGAAGGTGTAACAAAATTATTCAATAAGGTTTTACCCCATTTGATGCATGGTCAATCAAACACCACAGATCCAGTTTCTTAAATGTTTGTAAAACAATTTCATAATAGATTTTTAAGGGCTTATGTAGAATATAGTATTTTCTATATCTACCACCTTACATATGGTTATAGTTTTCAGTGATATTCAAATAAATATGGACATCTTTATTTCTCTAAAAATCTAGTCTAGAAACAAAAATGTTCACTATAACATTAAACTGATACAGCCAAAAAAAAAAAAAGAAAGAAAAAACAAAAGTGCAACACTGATAAAAGAATACTTTCTGTGAATATTTGCAGACATAGGAAATTCTTATTAAATAATTAAGTTAAAAATTAATTTTTAATATGATCACAAATTTGCTTTTAAACATATACATATGTATTTTTAAAACACTAGAATGAAAAACAAAACATTAACATTTATTTACATGATTAATGTGACTAATGTGAATAATTTTCTAAATTTTCTACTAGTAAATGTGGATTACATTTTTAATGAAAAATACATATAAAAAAGTTATGCTCAAATTGCATTAATAAAAATTATTTTAGTACATTTTAATTTTTTAAAGATTCATTTAATCTTTTAGGAAGAAGCAGAAGATATCATAAATTTAATCAAACATTTATAATATAATTGAGTTTCAGCATAAGTGTTCACAAGGCAATGGGAACATATCATTGTAGTTTCTGCCTAAAGTATTTTAACCTTAACTGAAGCACATAGCTAATATATTATAATTAAAGATGTTTATAGATTTCAAGTTTTAAAAGTTTTACACTTAATGTGACTTAATTCTATTTAAGTATATTAAATTTGAGTCTTTCTAAATTTGAAAGTGTCATTAAAATTATTTTTATGAATTTTGATGGCTTGGTTAAATTAGGCAGTAAGTATTATAATAGAATACAGTATTGCATAGTTTGCTATGAAAAGTATTTTAACAAACTTGATTCAAAATATCATCTAAAGGGCTGCCTGGGTGGCTCAGTCAGTTAAGCATCCAACTTTGGCTCAGGTCATAATCTCACAGCTGGAGAGTTCAAGCCCCACATCGGCTCTGTGCTGACAGCTCAGAGCCTGGAGCCTGCAGCCTGCTTCAGATTCTGTGTCTCCCTCTCTCTCTGTCCCTCCCCTTCTCACCCTCTGCCTCTCTCTCTCTCAAAAATAAACAAACATTGAAAACAAATTTCAAAATATCTAGAGGTAAAAGGATAATAAAAATTGAAAATGTCATTATTTTTGTAAATAACGTAAGAATCTACAATAGAGATACAGTTGAACAACAATGTAATGCCGGCATTAACATGGTAAAAAGGATGACTGTATTCAATCATCCGAGTGGTTATGAAACATCAACATTAGTAAGTGTAAATAGTTGGCTACTATAAATCTAGGGATAAAGACTATAAAAGAACAGAAAAAATGGAATTGTGCTAGTATGTGGGTGTTAGCACTTATAATTTTCATTTTGTTATTTTGAACTTATGTTAGATATTTTGAATTATAACTGATTCTAAAAATTATCACATTCTATGTAGACACGGTTTCTCCATATTTTATGAAGATTTTGTATGCTATTATTTTTCCTTGAGGGGAATATGTGAGAAGTTAAAAACGTTTTATTATTTCCATTTTATAGATGCATGCATTGAGACCAAAAAATGTCAGGGACAGAAACAGTGATTGAACTGGGAAGGCAAATTAACCCTACTCCTTCTCCAAACATCCACAAGAAATCCAAGTGCTACTCTCTTACTGTGGTCCATAGATTATTTTTAGTTAACAACGTTTAGAACTAATAAATTACTTCTGAAATTTCAAGAATGACTAAAACCTAAGTTATCTTACCAAAACACACTCACCCAGGAAATATAATTACCTTTGGTGGTGTGATATTTTGACTATTAGAAGTTAAGAGGTAATAGATGAATGAAATATGTTGTGTTCCCAGAAAAGAATGCTCTTCTTGCTTATATAGCATAGCTGCAAAGGTGGAAATGGCTTTATTATCATGAAGATCATTAAAAACTAAAAGAGTCCACTAAGATAACCAACATGTATTTGGAAATAACACTAGGCATTGAAAGAGAAAGAATTAAGTCAAAATACATTCTCATGCTGCTTTCAGAGGAGGGAACAGCTCCAGATGACTTAGAAAAGTCAATCTCAGGGCACCTGGGTGGCTCAGTCCGTTAAGCGTCGGACTTCGGCTCAGGTCATGATCCCACGATTCATGGGTTTGAGCCCCACGTCGGGCTTCATGGTGACAGCTCAGAGCCTGGAGCCTGTCTTCCATATTCTGTGTCTCCCTCTCTCTCCGACCCTCCCCTGCTCACATTGTCTGTCTGTCTGTCTCTCTCTCTCTCTCAGAAATAAATAAAACATTAAAAAACAAAGTCAATCTCATCGACAGGACAACAGAGACAGAACATGCCACTGCCTATTAAACATTTCTCCTAGGTAATTGACTATTAAGCAGTATAAAAAATAATGACATGGTGGGAAACAAAGTAAATAATCAGGAAATATTTGTCTGTAAGCTGAAAAAAAAAACCTGGGGTATAAAAAGAAACAACACTTCAGCACACAAATGATTAGCAGTAACCTACTGGAGATTCCCAGAGTAAATGATTTTCCTTTCCTATCACTGAGCAACTCCGTATTTAAGTCTAATTAAGGTTTAGGGAAGTCACGCCATTCTCCTCTTGCCATAAATCAGTGATTCTCAAAGGCTTTTAAAAAGATGCTGGCAGTCTTCTCTCCCTAGATTCTGATTCATTAGGTTGGGGTGGGGCTTACGCATATGTTTCCTTAATTAGCCCTCATTATCTCCAGGGAACCAAGGTTTGAGGACCACAGACTAGATTAATGGTTCTCAACTACAGCTGCACATTGTAGGTACTTTGAAAGCTTTAGAGAAAGTCCTAAACCCAGGCCCCATGCAAGATAAATTAAATCAGAATCTTTGGAGGGGGGCCCAACATCAGTATAGCTAAAGGCCCTCAAAGTCATTCTAATAGGCAGATAGGGTTAAGGACCACTGCATTCTTTTTACTTCCTGCAACAATTCAGTCAGCTCTAGTTGTTATAATTATCTTGGCAATTTTTATCTGAAGATCATCAGCACAGTACCTCACATTAATTTAAGGAGACAACATTGCTAACACAAAGTTAACCATAGACACATGGTTCAACTGTCTTAAACGTGACAAAGGGAAATGGAGCACGCTTTTGTCTGGTTATAGAAATCACAGTCTGTAGAAAGCCAGTGGTATTTTCAACAGACAGTACCTACAGGTAAGCCAAGGCCCAGTCCCTAAAGCATTTGAAAGTACTGAGTTCGTTACAGAAATAGGGAACTTGTTAAACACACGCTCTTCCTTTCTACCTCCTATGTTAGGGATCTTTATGTTTGCAGCTTTGTTTGGTGATATTGAAGTAAAGAAGGGATCTGTTTGGTAACCTTTTAAAGATGGAAACAAGTAACTATCACTCTATAGACCTAAAAAATCAAATCTTAATTCAGTTCTCATTTTCCTACCTACGCTGAAAGTAGCACACAAGAGTTTTGCTGCTATTGTTATACTGACTTTTAGAATCCAGAGAAAGCACTTGTTTTTCTTCACAAAGAATTAGTGCAACTAGATCAAACAAGCATGTTCTGTGGGCTGTCTGCCCAGACAACGAGACAGCTTTTGTACAGCACTGTTCTCCGTAGTGACATTTTTGCAATGGAATTGTATCTGTAGCCCTATTTGTCTCTATTAAGCCCCCAGTTAGAATAGCAGTTACTTAAATAATTTACATAAACTAAAAAATTTATAATACACCTTAAAAAAAATAATGCTATGCAAGACTGGTATAGAAATTGAGTATTGCAAATACCTCACATATCTGATTATTGTTGAAAGTGTCTGATGATTTAAGGCCATGTGGCAAACTGAGAATAATATGGACGTTATGTCCTAAGGGAAAAAATGAACTTCCCTGAACCTTGGTCTTATCTGTAAATTGGAGTGACGATACCTACCCTCAGTATCCTCATAGGGATACTGTGAAAGTGAAAACGAGAAAAAGCATAGGAGAAAATTGGCAAACCAATTATAAAAAATAAATTACTCTTAGTACTAATAAATTACTATAGTTGAGGAAAACAATAGCAGAGGACCGTTCATTAAGAAGATCTGTCACTAATTTATAATTTTTTAATTTATTAAGTTTTTATTTTAATTCAGCATAGTTAACATACAGTGTTACATTAGTTTCACGTACACAATATAGTGATTCGACTAATTTATTATTTTAAAGACTAAATTTATCAAGATGATAGTGCTTGTGTTTTTTTTTTAATTGATTTAATTTTGGTCTTGAACAAAATACAATCTAATTTGGAATGTTATGATTGTCCTAAAGACTAATGAATTCTTTTAAAATGAAGGATGTTTTTTAAAAAAATAATTAATTAATAAAGGATGTTTTGGGTTCTGGTTCTTAAAAAACAAACAACAGAAGAAAGGAAACAGTGCTTACATTTAGTAGCCAGGAAAACTGGTTAGAAAATATGAACTTCCTGGGCACCTGGCTGGCTCAGACAGTGGAGCATGTGACTCTTGGTTTGGGGGCTGTGGCTTTGAGCCCCAAGTTGGGTACAGAGATTGCCTAGAAATAAAATCTTTTTTATTTTTATTTATTTATTTATTTATTTATTTATTTATTATTATTATTTATACTAGGAGAGAGACAGAGAGAGAGAGAGAGAGAGAGAGAGAGAGCGTGAGCAGGGTAGGGTCAGAGAGAGAGGGAGTCACAGACTGAAACAGGCTCCAGGCTGTGAGCTGGCAGTCAGCACAGAGCCCGACGCGAGGCTCGAACCCACGAACCGCGAGATCATGACCTAAGCGAAAGTCGGACGCTTAACCGACTAAGCCACCCAGGCGCCCCAATAAAATCTTTTTTAAAAAGAGAAAATAGAAGCTTCTTACGTGTCTGGTATAATACTCAACTGATCTATTTTCGGTCATTTTGAAAGGTTTTGGAAATCAGATACAAGAAGAAAACAATATTTCTAAAAATTGCAGCCGATACTAACACTGTTACTTCTCTTGTTTAAAATCTACCCTACACACCACATTTCATCTACACCCATCCTATAGACAACCTCGCCCCAGAAGACGGCTCTAGGACAGAAATACAGTGGCACCTCCTGATATCACTGACACCGGTGGGCTTACCTCTATTACAGTACAGTTTTCTCAAAAGTTTTTCTCCGCGATAACGCTATTCATCTGAGTTGTTTGGCTTGAATACATAAAAACTTTTATCTCTGCGTGGGTTATTTTAAGTAAATAATTATTATTATCAGTGTCACCATGGAATACCAGTACAATGAAAGGCTCATCAGAGTTATTATTATGCACTTTAGTTTTCTGGTTTTAAACTACCTCATCTGCTTAACATTAAGTCTGTCTAAGCCTTGGCCTCCAGATTGTAGGACCATTTGAACTGTTGACTGTTCTGAGTCAGATTTCAAATGGGGGCCCTTAAGCTGGTACTCCTCATGGACCCAGCAAGTAGTTGGAGCTGGACAGTTCTTCTTCTAATCTTCCCAGATCTGTTAGCCAGTGTTCCTTTGACTTCTGCTCTGTCATCTTAATGCCAGCATTTGCATTAGCAACACTGCTAGTTACTAACATTAAAACCTGAAATGCACCTATATTCCTACAGACTCATACCAGCCAACAAACCCTATTTAATACTAGATCTACATACAAAATGAAAAGATGGCCAGATAATTCTCTGAACTTTTTCATTTCTACGGTTTTTCATTTCTACCACCTTCCTAGTTTAAGGAGACACAGTCTTCTTACAAACTATATTTATAGTTTGCTATTCATTTTGTTTAGAAATAAATATTGATGGTTGGTGGTCAAATAAAATTAAATCTATTAAAAAATCAATGGATGATGAATGCCAGGAATTACTGGTCTAGAGAGCTAATGCTGTTTTCTACTGAATGAAGTCCCAAAGCCACCACCTGGTTAACAGTTTAGAGTTGTTAGTCGTGTGCTTGTATTTGAATTATGTGTTAGACATGAGCCATCTGGATTCCTAGTGCACAATCTCTTGCATTTAAATACTTTATCTCATGGTTTCTATAGACAGTAAAGAGCATGACTAGATTTCAAGTGATATTTGCCTTGGTCCAGAAAACAATTTAATGGAAGCGATTTTTGCCAATGTAATTCTGTAGAGGGAACTACGCTCTTCAGGTTTGACATATTGCTGAACCAGCTTTTGGAAAAATGGAAGGAAGGGAAGAGGGAGGGGAGAGAGGAAGGGAGAGAGGTAAGAAGGAAGGAATAAGGAATAAAGGAGGAAGGGAGAAGGTGGGGAGAAAGGAGGGTATCATTATCCAGTGGTAAATTTAATTCTATAAAAAGAAACCAAATTATTCACATAGCAATAGTAATTAGAAACTGAAATCTTGCTTGGGTTTAAAGCCTGGCCAGAAGTGACTGCATTTTTCTGAGTTTATAAAGAACCACCTACCCTATCCTATATCCTACTCTGTGTTGGATTTTTTTTTACTTTACATTTATACAAAAGCAGAACATATCCATTCATGTGACTTCAGCCACCGAAAAGAAACTGAAAAATTGGGATATTTGAATTGGTGGATAAGCTCTCTGTGGCAAGTCCTTATTTATTTGCAAAATGTATGAGATGCTTATTAGAACATCAAACAGCTGATAATAATTTTACCAAAATTCAAAAGGCAAGCTTTCATGACAAGCAAGCAAAAGAACTACCTTCTACTGCCACCTGGGTGGCTCAGTCAGTTAGGTGACCAACTTCCTCTCAGGTCTTGATCTCACAGTTTGTGGGTTCGAGCCCCGTGTTGGGCTCTGTGCTGACAGCACAGACCTTGAAGCCTGCTTTGGATTCTGTGTCTCCTTCTCTCTCTGCCCCTCCACAACTTGTAC